GATATTTTACCCAATGGGGAATCATAAGCTACAGTGCCTACACACTCCCCCCCCCCCACCCCCATGCTGGGGGTGGTGGGGAAATTTGGGGAGTTGAAGTCCATGCATCTTAAAGTTGCCAAGTCTGAAAAACACAGCTATAGACATTCAGTTTACCTTTGGTCTCCACGCATTTATTCTCCCTTTCGTATTGAGCCGGGCCAGAGAGGGAGACCAAACAGCAAATATATTGTCAATCCAAGAAGAAGCAGAAATCTGTCCATTAGAAATAAATTTACTCTCCATTCCTAGTGGCATGGAACAGCCTAGAAGGAGATAAAATAGTAAGGCAAACCTAATAATCCTCATTCAGCCTCAGTAGCCCCTTTTCTTCACCTCTGCCCCTTGGTGACCGACCTTCATTCCTTGAATGGCCTTCAAGGGCATGCATTGCACAGCTACCAATTGCTTTCGATCAATACGCCCTGTGTTGCCTTCATTGTGGGAATAGGTCCTGGTTAAGGGTGATTTTTTACCCTGATTTTTAAAATCATATTACTCTATGTGTCACACAGTTAGCCATTTACGTTCTTATGAACCGTGCAATCTTACATTTGGTTACTCAGCAGTTAACAAATGGACCTTTCTCCCAAGTAAATCTGTATAGAACAAGAGCCAGTGTGATGTAGCGATTAAGATGTTGAACAGGGATCAAGGAGACCTAGGTGTAAATCCAGCCTTAACCACAGAAGCTTCTTGGGGACTTAGGGCCTGAACCTCTCTCTTAGTCCAACCTACCTCAAAGAGTTATTATTATAGGGAAAAATAGGAGGAAGAAGTACTCAGTATGCTGCCTTGAGCTCCTGTAAATCTAATGAATACAAAAATAACAAATAACAGAACTGCAGACTACATTCGTTAGCTAGAAACATCTCTTAGCAGTATTTTAAGCAGCTCCAGTAGCTGCATGTCTCTATCTGGGTGTGATGGTGCTTGGTGTGGACCTTCAAAGTCCTAACAGGGATGGAAATGAGATGTCTTAAAGAAGACCAGCCCATGTTAGGCAACACATCTGCAAGGAGGGCCTGTTGATCCGTCAGATACTGCCACCAACAGAAAGGGACTTTTTGGCTCCATGAACAAGGATCTTTCAGTGGAGGCTCCATCTTTGGAACTTTCTCTCCAGAGAAGGTTGCCTGGTGCCGAATTGGTTATCTCTTTGGTGCAGAGAAAAGCTGATGCAATATATATCGTGCAGTGGCCCATGGATTGAATTCCCAGTAGAGGGCTTGAACCCGATTGAATAAAATCTGTTTATGTATATCTGATGATTCCTAAAAAAAAAGATGAAACCAGTCACTGCTTCCCGGTGCTCAATATGAATGACAACGATGACTTCTGGAAACAAAAATGTCTGTCCCAGAGCTATAGTGACTGTTAAGGGCAGATGTGGTAGCTGTCTTCAAACACCTGTCATACAAAAGATGGAGTGAGTAGACCTGCTGACTCTTGCTTGAGAGCAGGACAAGAACCAATGGCACTGTACCGAAACAAATTCTGGCTAAATATTAGGAGGAAAGTCCTATGGCAAGAGCAGTTGGACAATGGAACAACCTCCTCCAGAGTGGTTAGCTTTCTTTCTGTGGAGATATTTAAGAAAGGTCTGCTCAAACATCTGTCATGAATAATCTAGATCAGTGTTTCTCAACCTCGGCAACTTGAAGATGTCTGGACTTCAACTCCCAACTTCCCATGGCTGGTTGGGGAATTCTGAGAGTTGAAGTCCAGATATCTTCAAGTTGCTGAGGTTGAGAAACACTGATCTAGATGCATCCTGCTGGTCTCTGAGAATTCTTCTGCCTCAACAATTCCACCATCCTATGAATGGAAAAAGAACGAAAGGTCTCATGCCATACTATTCAGGTCACAGCCTAGCAGCTCCATCCTCAACGTGTTGCGAAAGCTGAAGTGTGTTGGGTGGAGACGGATGTAACGGGCTATAATGGGAGGGTCGAAGGCATTGTCTTTCACACTCACGGCATCCACGTTCCCAGGGAATATCTGCAGGCAAGAAAGGAAGAGCAGCTCTATTTACACTGGGGCATGCAAGTGAGAGCAAGAGCAATCAGGGCTCTGTTCAGCCTGCATGAAACCTACACCCTGGGATAGAGAGCAATGACATCACCTTCAGCGTAACTGGAAGAGTGAGAAAGGGCTGAGGCACTGGTATGCATGCAGCCCAACCCAAGTTAAATCCCCAGCATCTCCAGGATGGGCTAGAGGACCATCAACTTTCTAACCATTCCTTGTTCCTTATGCTTCATACCTGTTTTGAGTTCATTTGTTAGAAGTCAAGGTCAACTCAAGAGGACTTCATGGACAAGGGTGTATGGTTTTCTTGGTTGTAATACAGAAGGGCTTTCTCTGGAATGTGCTTTTGATTTCCCAATCTAGCTATGCTCCGAGATTTTCTGGTCATCTCCCATCCAAATCTTAACCAGGACAGGCCCTGCTTAGCTTTCTTTCTGGGTCAGCTAAATAATTTGCCGCACCTTGACTTCTTTTCAGAAGATGCCAAAATATGAGTTCTTCCAGGGAGTTTTGCTGATCCAAGTTTCCTTGTTGTTAATTGTTAATTGAACTTTGAGGCTGTGATTGTTACCGAGTTATCAATGTTGTGGTTTGTTAAATTATTACATCTTTTTCAATTTGCCTAACTGTGAATGTTGGGTTATGGTGTCTATCTTATTGTTCAGTGCCTGGCAGATTACAATGATACACAACCCAAATGAAGAAATAAAGCATCGCCACCTGCTGATGGCCATTCATGTATGCATCCTATTTATCGGCATGTGCAACCTGACCTATGAAGAAGAACCTGAAGTCCTGTGTTCAGCAAGTCCACATTCCACGTTAATAAACACTGGCTTCTTTTCAGAGGTATGCCAACAATTCAAATAGTTGTGTTATTTTTTTTTAATTTGTTCTACTTTTGTAGCAGTTAAGAAAGGCAAGGAACACATCGCTCACTTTCATTCTTTCTCATGCACGGATAATCCTACTCAGCCTCTTTTCTACTCAAACTATAATATTTTGGTTCAAGGCTACTTCACACATTGAAGAATCATCTGACAATTGCAACATCAGATTTAATACAGCCTTCTCCATCCTGGATGTATTAAATTCATAGTTACTAATGTTACTACTACTAGTTACTACTATTGTTACTACTAATCGTTACTACTACATCAGGAGATACTGAAATGTGGAAACCAGCTGTACGCTTTGACTCTGCAAGCAGCAGATCTGCAGTCCCAACACAAACAAAGGGTATGCTGTTTTTATTTATGAGTTTACCATCTTAAACAGGTCTTCTAGCATGAAATGATAGTTTGTATTTCTTAAAAGTATTAGTACATTAAAAAAAAAACCTTTCTGCTTTCTGATTAGAGGAGAAGCACCAAAAAACAATTACCATTTGGGAGCTGGTAGAATTGCCTTTATAACACTTCCATCTCTCTCCATCCAGACTATAGAAGATGATGAACTGGGAGATGTAATAGTTAGTTAACCTCCGCCGAGCTCCTTGTGTCTTTATTCCATGGAAGATCTTGGGTTGGAGCAAGTCCACCTGAAGAACAGGGAGACTCATTTCTGATCAACTGCTTTTTGGAAAATAAGGTTTCCATAAGGCATCTTTCCTCAACTTCCAGCTGTTTGGGATTGCACCTCTCAGAGTTTCAAGTCAACATAGCCTTCAGGAGTCATGGACTCAACATACAATGAAAAAGGCCACCATGTAGAGAGTTGCTGCCAGGTGGAACAAAATGGACTATGGCTAAATATATCAATGGTCTAATAGATAGCAGATAAAGTAGCTTCACATGTTCACAAAAGGAACTAGAAAAGCAAGAGTCAAGACTGAATGTGGCATCTTCAACTTTTCTGTTTTGAAGGACAAGAAATCAACAGAATGCATATGGAAGGGGGTGGTTTAGCAACAGAATTCAGATGCTTTACCTCTCATGTCATTGCCAGATGGTAAGGTGGAACATAAGGTCTTCCAGAAGATCATGAGAGGAGGAAGACTGCTTGCATCATGATAAATGTCTGGAAGCTGCCAGTTTTACCCATGTCAAAAGGACATTTGTTAATTAAACAAGAATGGCTGCTGACAATCATTTGATACATAGGTAGCACCAGCACTGGCCTCCTTAGGCAGCTGTTGAGGTCTACTGTTCTCAGAGGACCCACTGCTGATTCTGGTCCTGGGGTTCCCCCTTAATGTACTCACTCTATGTAGCAGGATACATGAACCACCTGCCATCTCAACCCCTTTTAAGGCCAAATATCACCACTTTAAATTACTATGAGTAATTTAAAAGATGACTGTCATTTAAAATAATGGCGTCATTGTGATCCAGTTATAATAGACCTTATCTAGCCTGAAAACTTTCAAGTGCAATAAAACTACTAATCTTAAATGATGTTACAAAATCTAGTTCTTGTGTAGAGTAGACTACTGCGTCACTCAGATTAATTACTTTCACTTTCTCTATTGTCCAAGAGAAGAAGGTGACCTGATAATTCTGCATCCCATTATGCCCGCTTGTTATTTACCTGTAGAATTCCTCCACCCTGAAGATGATGCCTACCTGGATCCAGGAGTTGTTCTGATTACTCCTCCAAGCATTGACTGACCCAGAGTTGTCCAACCTGGCCAGACTGGGGACCCATTCACCTTGGACCAAGGGAAAAGAAGTGAGGTTCGAAAAGGAAGACTTGGCAAGCTGTGCCTCTGAAGAGCTGGTCTTCCCTGGTGGCATACCTTGGGTTGGACCTTAAGGCCAAAGCCAGGGTTTCCTAGCCAAGGAGCGACCCAAATAAGGCAGAGAGTGGTTAGCTGATGGGGCAGTGGCAGTCAAAAATGGTGTCAATATCTGAGCAGAAGGAGTGATGCTGCAAATCATTGGGGCAATCGCACAACAATATTTTGTCTTCCCCAAAGTTCTTATATTAAGATAGATAGATAGATAGATAGATAGATAGATAGATAGATAGATAGATAGAT